ATGAAGAAAGCGACTCGAGAGTGAAGGATCAACCCCTTTCACAGGCATCTATGATCATAAGGTTTTTGTAATGCTTCATGTATATCTATTTGGAGTAATAAAATATTTATTCATGTACTACTGTACCAAGCTTTCGTTATACTTATGTCATGACCTACTGCCTTTTCATATTTGAATCCCTTTTATGCTTATGTCTTATTGACTCATTGGTCAGTTGTTCTAAGTGTGCTGGGTGGTCTGACTAAAACCTTGTCGAAATGTGATAAGGGAGAACCACAGATTCTACATACTAGCACAAATCAATTTGATTCCTTAATATCCGATTGATCTATTTTGTAGATATATGTAAATGTTTACTTCCCTATCTTGTAGAATACCACGCATGTGTAATTCTTGTATATGTACAAATCTTCTCACCTTCATATCGATAGGAAGTATTTCAGCCATTTCTCTTTGTGCTTTTAACATTTATAAAATGCATATGTGTGTGTGTGTATTTATGCTGCTTATTTTTTACTGACTTAGAAAAATTCTTCACTTGGTTTTGTTCTTTGCAGTACTTTCGATAGTCATTTGAGTTACAAACTACCATCTACTGAGGTTGAGAATTTATTGGAAAGAAAATGGAGGTACACATGGAAGATGCCCGCTCTTAACATGTCCAATTGCAATTGGAGAGGCACAGGATCATGCTTTATTAAGGTTTCATTTCATGATTTTTTTGTTTTGACTTCTACTGTGGCATGTATTGTTCATTTTTTATGTCTTCCATGGCACTTTTTTCAGTTTTTACTTTGATTGAGATTTATCGTTAAATTCTTTTCTTCATCATCCTAGAAGCAATAACTGTTCGTGCTGCTATTTGCTCGTGGAAGACACAAGACTTTGAATTATAGCAATACCTGCAAGTTTATTAGATGGACATTTGGCAGAAGGTGTTTGAGAGAAAGAAAGATGTATATAGTTGATTTTTTCGACTTCATCACTATAGTTAGTTATGATATCACTGCCCAATCCTTATTAATCTGGGAACAGAAAAAGATTTATGAATAGTGTATCAATTATTACAGATTGAGCTTTCTGCAATTTGGGTATTAAGTGTGTAGGCATCTTATATTTGCGTCATTAAGATTTAAGAATTCTTTTTCTTGATAGTTGTATTTTCAAATTCGGAAGGATCTGGGGCTGCAAGCCAGTGTTTGAATTATTTCCTCTATCTTGTATTTTCAATAGATGCACAAGTGTATTGCCTGTAACAAAAATATTATACTTGTAGGATGTGGATATGACATCTTATTATGGTCTCAAACCAAGGTTCTACAAACATTGGCTGGAAAGCTACACGGCTTCAGGCGGAAGTGACTTTCATCAGTCTAAACAAAGATCATTTTTCTCTATCTGTAAGTGAATAAAGCAAGCTGTCAACGAGCTTACATGTTTTAAGCAGCGTACATAAGCGTCCTACATAATTTGTTTATCTTACATTGAAGGTATCTTTTATCTACAATTGCAAATGCTACTGAATGAGATATTGCAAACTCTAGATTACGAAAATTTCTGAGCAGATCATGGTTTCTCAACCCTTGGACTCTGCCATTTAAGATGCCATTAATTCACCCCCCCCCCCCCCCCCCCCTTTTTTTTTAGAATAGTGATTTTATTATGTAATGCTGATGGGTTCTTAATGCTACTTCTGATTTCATGGTTAACTTTTCTAGGCAACAGCTATTATGATATAATGCACCACAACAAGAAGCCCTTTTACCTCAAAGGATCGGAAGAAGATTCAAGTATCATGGATGCGTATCTCATGCATTCTGTATGTACATGAACCTTTTAATTTGATGTATGTTCATGCTTTCAGTTACACCTGTAAGCACATAGATGGTCATCATTTTGTTCCTTGTCATTATTTGGGGTCATTCTATGTTGTCTCTTATTTACTATTGTTGAACTGTCATGACCTCGGATGATAAGTGAAGTGATTGTCCTGTGCAGTTGAATCATATCTTTAGAGGTAAAGACCTTATGGTAAAAAATGAAAGGAAATTGTCTAAGAATCAAGAGACTGTGGATGGCCAAAATCTAGAAGATGATGCTTGCCTCGATCGGGGATTTACTCGCCCTAAGGTATATGTATATATATTATTTGCTTCATGCAGTGTAATTATGGAATTGAAACATCATGTACAGTATTTGTCTACTTATTTAATCACGCTGTTTTCGTCCGCATCCCTTTGATATCCTCCTCTATATAGCTAGGAATGCCATGCTTTAACTAATTGGTAGCAAGGAATTGCATGATTTGTCCTGCCCGTGCCCTGTCCATGTCTCTTATCCATGCTTTTGATTTGGTCGTTTATCTTTACTCCTCTATGCCACGTGTTTCTGCTAACTCACTGTCACATGTGATGCACTAGGTTTTGATCCTTTTACCACTGGCTGGAATTGCGCGTAGGGTTGTCAAGAGGTTGATCCAGTTGACTCCAACCAAGCATAAGGTAGATATACTTCTTTTGTATCATGCTTTGAGTTGCTTCAAAGGCATACATTGCTACACGAAGCTAGAGCTTTTATGTGGAAATTCCTGCTAGAAATCCTACGATTAATCTCAACAGGAAAGGCCTTAACATTATCCTTGTGGACCAAAGACTCCAGATAGTATAGGAGTCAAAAATAATTTTGGAACATAATTGGTTCGTTGCATGTGGAGAATGTTAAATATCAATATTTTTTCAGGAACGCTTTGGTTTCGGTTCTTTTCTGCTTTTTGACATATTTATCTAGAAAATATTTTATTCTGTCATGCTAGTGTATTTAATCCAGGACTGCATCCGTCTCTGTAAAAAATCTCCGTCTTTTGTTTTGGTTAGTTTGCTGCTAGATATTAGTTTGGCTACAAATCAGTAGTTGTAATCTTTTGTGCCCTCTATGCAGAGTTGCTATTGTTTTAGGCAGAATTTATGTTTTTCCGGAATCATATATTCTTTTTCTTCTTGACAGACTAATGTGGAAGATCTTGAACGCTTTTATGAGGAGTTTGGTTCTGGAAGAACTGAGAGCATGGGTGATGATAATGACTCAGAAATCCCTAAATCCAAAAAGTCTGCAAAACCTCCCGACTTCCAAGCATTGCTTGGAAATGATAATGCCAATGATCACTTTATGGTTGGTGTAAAGTTTACCAACAGGTAAGATTCTTTACATTAACTTGAGCTAAAATGAAATTTGTCGTAATGTGTGCGTCTCTTCAAGCAATGGATGTACTTCGCAACAGTGGGAAGGCATATTATTTAAGCTTTTGACTTGTCATTATAATCATTCTCTGGAAACTTTGGTGTTGTGGGATTTCTGAATCTTTGCTTTTCTTATTTTGTTTGATGTTTGATACTATCCAATAATTTGAATAATCTGTCAGAGTTGTTGCTATAGCATTAGAAAGAATAATGTAATTGACTGTCAACAACCTTGTAGTATGTGGCCGGCAGTAGTAAATCTAATTAACTCCTATTATTGTTTTCCTTTTCTACAGAGGCATAAAGTTGTATGGTGATTTCTATACGTCTGACGTGATTGTTGCTTCTCCTTTGGGTTTGATCAGTGTGAGCCATCCTCTACTATGTACTTTGCACTGAAGATGTTATCGAACTTCTGATCTTTTGATGGCTATTTCTTTTCAAATGCATCCAGAGATGTATCTAAGTTTTATGCGTGTTAACGTAATCTAGCAGCATTAGGCATGATTGAGTTTGATTGTTCAATATTTTGTTGCAGAAAATTGGGGATGCGGAAGTTGATAAAGAAAAGGATGTTGATTATCTTTCATCGATAGAAGTAAGGACATCATTTTAGTTATCCGTGATGCAAGTATGTTTTTCAGAGTGGTTTCCATGCCAATCATATACTAATCAAGGAGAAAATTTGTGTCGCAGATCTTAATCATTGACCATGCAGATGTCATGCTAATGCAGGTCCATAAATTATCCATGCAACTAACCTCAAGTGATATTGTTGTTATCATTGAAAATTATGTATTTACTCTATTTCTTTCTATGAAATTTCCAGAATTGGTCACATGTGAACACCGTTGTGGAACAATTGAATAGACTACCATCTAAGCAACACGGAACTGACATTATGCGCATAAGGCCATGGTATGCTTTTGAGCTGTTCTTTTGTTAGTAATATAGCCCTGTCCGCAATTTTTTGATGCTTTAAAGGACAATATCTTGTAATCTTGGATAGCCCTTTGCCTTTCTCTTGCTGTCATTAGACTATCATTAATCGCATGTGCTGTTGGAAGCATTTATTCCTTAGATCTAAGTACTATTAGTTAAAATTTGTTTCTTGCCCAAATTAGAGGAGGTGATAGATATAAATTGGTAGCATTTCAAGTTAGTTAATTCTTCTGGTGGTTTTTTAGTTATATTTTTTGCATTTAAACGTCTGCAATTCCAGGTATTCGGATGGACAAGCCCGTTTCTATCGGCAAACAATAATTTTAGGTTCTCATATAAATCCAGGTAATATGATTTAGAAACATTTCTTATTATTTTCTTGTACTGATCTTAGAGTTTCTCATATAAATCCAGTTTTTACACGATATTCTTAATCAGGTCTGACTTGTAACCCTCCGGTTGATTTTCACTTTTTGCAGAATTTAATTCCATGTTTAATCAGCATTGCCTTAATTACCGAGGAAAGGTTAGCACATATACTGTTCCACTTCTAACTGTTTTGTGTTCTGTAAATAGAAACCACACGATTACAAAATATTTACTTCTGCAGGTTAAATTGGAGTGCAAGTATAAAGGTGTTCTCCCAAAAATATTAATTCCAGCAAGACAGGTTAAATATTAGTACTAGTCTATATCTCCTCAGTATAGAATTGAAAATGACATTTCGTCAAAATAGACCTTTCAGTTAATCAGATTTTATTCATATTGCAGATTTATGAGCGTTTTGACGTAGAATCAATTACAGGAGCTGATGATGCTCGTCTTAAATATTTCTGTGAAAAGGTCTGTCCAATGTCACCTTATGGTTCAGTTATATGCTATTGAATCTCAAATAATTTTCTGTACATAGATGAAACCAAGTGCACAGATTTCCTGCAAAGAGCGTCTTTGCAGTTTGACTTCACGTATTTTATCATGTTTTGTAACATATTAATAACATTTAGTTTCTTGTTTACTCTCATTTTCAAGCCGGTGTAGTTAAGTGATGCTTGAATTTGTGCTAGCTACCTTCCACAACCCCACTTTTAAAAGATGGCCAAATCTAATGGAAGTGAAATCTTATTTTGCAGGTGTTTCCCAAGATAAAAGATTCTATTCAGGTAATATGGGGCTCAGTATATAAAGGGTCATACGCTCTAATTATCATTAACTAAAAATAACTTTTTTCTATTTACTGTTTTCCACACAGAATGGAGTAATGATATTTGTTAGTTCTTACTTTGAGTTCGTCCGTCTACGGAACTATTTAAAGTCACAAGATGCTTCCTACTGCTTGTTTGGAGAGTAAGACAGTTTTATTTCTTTTTTGTATTTTTGAGCTTATTTTGCAGCTTGTCCTAATGGATTCTTTAATTCGTCCTTTGGCTGTACAGGTATATAAAACCGAATGAAATATCTCACGTGCGAGGTCAGTTCTTCAGAGGAGAAAAGAAAATTATTCTCTACACCGAGAGATCCCATTTTTACTTCAGATACAAGGTTCTTTCTCTACTACTAAATTTTCTTGTTAGTACTTCTGTTCTTTAATTTCGTGACCCTTATTTTCTTGGATTCTTACTTATCTTTTTTCTCCCTCAAATAGATTCGTGGTGTACAGAACTTAATAATCTATTCCCTGCCAGAGAGAAAAGAGTTTTACCCAGAGGTAAAGCTTTCTACAGAACAATATTTTTTCTCGAACAATTGTTTCCCGTTTCAATGTAGATATTTCTTATTTAATTTGTTCTGCAGATTGTGAATTTCCTGGAAGAGTCCGACAACATGAACTGCACAGTCTTATTTTCTCGTTTGGATCATCTTCGGGTATCATTCTGGTTCTTTTCAACTATATTAAAAGATTTAAACATGCCAATTATCCCATCTTTCTATATTTAGTTCTTAAAGCAAACTGTTTATGTTAGCACCGGTTGTGACTGAAATTTGCCATATATGAGCTCATATACTTGCATTATCTTTTTCGGGAGTTTTATGATTATGGGCTTAAATTTAATGGATGATATATCAATAGTATTAACAAATTTCTTTTGGACGATATGTAGCTTGAGAGAATAGTTGGTTCTACTGCTGCAAAAAGAATGGTGGACTCGGAGAAAGGTGTATTTGTTTTCGCTTAGAATCCTTTTCCCAAGCTGCACGAGTTGATGAGCTCCTAAGCTTGGAGATGTCGTGTATCGGTGTTGTTAATTTATACAGGAACATTGTTTTCCTTTTCTTTTTTATACTTCACAAATATTTCACTGTATTACTTGAAATTTTCAGCTTGCAGATTGGCACAATTTTGACATGCTGCTAGGAAAACATTTTAAATTAAAGAAAAAAAATTCTAGCTAGATAAATTAAAAAATGTATAGAATAAATTTAAATGTATAAGATACAGTTCATTGAAAGTACTGATTAAAAAAAACAATAAAAAATAAAAATGTACTAGATAAATAAAGAAAATGTATAGAATAAATTGAAATGTATATTTATATTTATATCATGTAATAAAAAAATTCTTTTGATGCAAATAATATAAATATAAAAATCCAATAAATCAAGAAGCATAACAAGAAGTCCAAAACCTTATTTGTCAGCCCAGCCCATTAGCAGTTACACCATGAGTCCATTATCCAAGACCAGCATAATCGTAAATAAACGGAAATTTGAAGGGTAGAAAGGAGTCGTTCTATTTCAACCCCCACCAGTTTAAACCCTAAATCTCAGAGATTTGATTCCGCCTATTACACGCACACCGCACATCGAATCAATCGAAATCGCCGAGAAATGGGAGTGTTTACGTTTGTCTGCAAAGGATCCGGCGCCGATTGGACGGCGAAGCAGCTCAATGGCGAGCTCGAGGCTTCAGCCAGCTCCACCTTCGAACTCCAGCGTAAGCTTGTTCAGGCCGCCGTCTCTTCCGATTCCTCCGGCGGCGCCCAGTCTTCGTTCTCCTACGTCACTCCTTCGTCAGCCGTTTTCCAGGTTTTCATCCGCTTGATTTGCTTTTTTGTTTTGTCAATCCATCGTCTATGCTGTTATAATGTTAGTTTTTGTAATTTATTTATTCACTCGCTGATGACTGGTGAATAATGCAGGTGATCATTGGTGGTGGCGGAGGAGGTGGTGCCTTCGTCGGAGGTGGTGGTGCTGCTGCTGCACCGGCTGCATCTGGTGGTGGTGCGGCTGCTGAAGCACCTGCAGCTGAGGAGAAGAAGGAAGAGAAGGAGGAGAGTGACGACGATATGGGATTCTCACTTTTTGACTAGGTTCATCGTTTACCGCGTTCTATAGCAAGATTTGTTGCTTATTTCTCATTCGAGGTTTTGATATTATTACTGGATTGTTGATTTTTGAGTTTACGGCTTCAATGAATTTAACCACGTTGCTATTATTAGTGTTCGTATCTCCGTTTATTGCTTGCTTGTATGCACTTTTCTGAATGTTTGAGAGAATTGGATAGCCATTTTCGGCGATAAGAACTGCATCAATCTAGGATGACAGTCAAAATCGAATATATACCAGGACGACCCCCTTGGCTGGCGCCCCAGTACTTAATGTCAACTTGCTAATCGTGTATTGGGTTGAAACTCTTCCCCTTTCTGCTTGAGCGTCCTTTGTCAAACCGAAACTTGACTAATAAATAGACTTTATGGATTGCCTTGCTAATCGTGTATTGGGTCGAAACTTCTCCCCTTTCTGCTTGAGCAAACTTTGTCGAACCGAAAATTGACTAATTAATAGAGTTTATGGATTGCCTACTTTCATTTATTGATTGATTATTTAGGTCTCTAGGAGATTCCCTTTGCTAGATGAGTTTCACCCTAGTTTTATCATACAGTTTTCGTGTATTCAAACTAGGCCAGGAAATCGGACAGGAACGAATCGGGAAGAGCCTTTTTTTTATGGATTTTTTCCAGAACTCACAATCTACTGTCCGATTCTTGGAATCTCAAAAGAGATTTCCCATGGCAGCTTTTATGTTGGATTCAACTTGTAGGCGACAACAACACCGGTAATGTGAATGACTCCATTTATTCCTGGAGAGAATACAGGTGGAGGATATTTGTTTGAAGAAAGGGACAGTTATGGTGGAGTAAACAAGAAGAAGGATTAGGTTTCTGTTGTTCTTAGAATTTGCAATTTAGTCCCTTGAGTTAATATTTTGGGATTTTTTTTTTGGAGTTTTCAGAAATTAATGCGTAAATCTAAATTGGAATTTTATAAAAAAAAAAAAAAAAAAAAAAAAGAATTTCTATTCCGATAAAAGAACCGGAAACTGGATTGATAAAAGTATTCTTAAAATTGGAAATTTTTCGAATTAGAATCCACATAAATTGCAATATTCGTTCCAATTTCCACCACAATTTAAACATACTTGTATGGACATATTCAATTAGATTCAAAGTTGGTACCGGTATATTTCACTTGGCGGAGATTACGATCGTATTCAAACCGTTTAAAACCTGACACCAAAACCATTAAGGTCTGGTCAAAAAAATTGGGAACCGTCCGTGAAAGAAATATTTCAAGTTATGCATTCAATCGTACGCTTCACGCGATGACATTCGAACACAATTATTATACCATGTTAGCAAGTGTCTCCATCAACAACAAATGAAACGGACCGGACCGGACCACACAAGTATAATCTATAATGTTCATAGATATATGTAATGTTCATAGATATATGTATAGTCTCGATCTTGATTCTTGAATGTGGTAGTGACCCTGGTGAATGCAGACAAATACGTAAATATAATTATACCAGAAGAGGAATATAATTCCATTATTGAAGATAAATGATCATTACATGCAGATTAATTTATGACTAATACATTCAATTAAGGAAACATAAATCAAATGATGAACACTGACACACAGACAGGAGTACTATGGAATTGTCTTAACTCTTAAGTAGATCAAGGAGTATAGTTGTAGGTTTTAGGGACAAGGCAAAGTGGAATTTTCTTGTACATAGTAAGTCCAGGCAAAACCTGAGAATCGATATCTTCTTCCTTCATCCCGTTAGGCAATTCCCAGTCGAACGAGTAAACGAGATTCGCGACTGCAAGCTCCACCATTGCGAGCCCCATTGCCATCCCGGGGCAACCCCTTCGCCCCGACCCAAATGGAATCACCCGAAAATCCTGACCCGTGACATCAGCAGCATCACTATTCAAGAATCTCTCGGGCGAGAACTCGTTCGGGTTTTCCCAGTACTCGGGATCTCTTGCAATGGCCCATGCGTTTATGAAAATAGATGTTTTAGGCGGAATTGTATAACCTTCGATATTTAATTTTTCCAGTGTTTGTCTTAATAGTAATGGAGCTGGTGGGTACAATCTTAATGCCTCTTTAATTACTGCTTTTAGGTACGGAATATTCGGAATATCATCTTCGTTTACTTTACCTTTTCCGCCGATTAAATCTCTGATTTCCTTTTGCAGTTTCTTCATTGCTGTTGGATTTTGCATCAATGCAGTCATGGTCCAAACTATTGTTGCTGTCCCCGTATCGGTTCCTGCGACGAATATATCCTGTAATATAAAAAAAAAAAACAAGAACGAATACGATCACTTTACTTATATATATATGACACGATTGATTTGATTGTTAATTACCATGAGTGTTGCTTTGACATTATCCCACGTCAGATCAATCGAGCTCGATTCGTCTTCTTTGAGCTGGATTAACAAATCCAGGATATTCGGATTATAATTCGTGACTGATTTAACCCTCGTTCGAACAAGATTCTCATCAATCAGGGCTTCGAAGAATTCATCCAAGTCTTTGCAGACTTTATCGAGCCTATCAATCATTCCGGATAGTTTATCCACCCAACCGAACAAAGGCATGTAATCCGAAAAGAAGAAACCGCCAAGCATGGCCTGAGACTCAATCATGAGCTCGTCGAACCTCCGTTTTCTCGACTCCTCGTCCACGTCATCACTCATCTTGCCAAAGGCCATTCTGCATATCATGGTACTTATCAGCGACAGCACTGTCACGCTCAAGTTCGCGACAGCCGCTTTGTCTGAAAAAGCCGACAGGTTCTTGATCATGCGGAAGACTTCTTCTTCGCGAACGGGGCCGAACGAGTGGAGCTGTTTGCTGCTCAAGAGATGAAGGACGCAAATCTTCCTCAGCTCTCTCCACGATTGGCTGTAAGGTGTGAAAGCTATGTCGGAGGCGTTGTACGATATCTTGTACTGTCCGAGAACTTTCGGCCTGCTGCAAAACGATAGGTCGTTCGTTTTCAGGACTTGCGTTGCTATTTTTGTCGAGGAGACGACGAGGAGTGGGACCGAACCGAGCCTCATTGACATGAGAGGGCCGTGTTTCTTGGATAGTTTCCATAGATAGATATGTGTGGCGGCGTTGTGGTGGAGTTGGTGGAGGTTTCCGATGAAAGGTAGGCTTAAAGGTCCTGGTGGATATGGAGATTTTTTTTGAAGTGTTTTCTGTTTGTGGAAGAAGAAGAAGAAAATTACTACAGGCAATATCAGTAGCAATATCAGTAGCAGTATCAGTGACAGTAGGGAGAGCAAATCCATTTTTTTTTTTTTTTTGGGATTGTATTTTGTAATTTTGAAGATGGATGCTGAATTACGTATGGTTTGCTTGAGTATTTAAAGAGTTTAAAAATAGAAATTTTTTAAATTGAACTTTTTTTTTTCAATTATTTAAAACGTTTTATTGCACTACTGCATTTTTTTCAAAGGAGGGGACCTAAATGAAATATATTTTTCATTTAATTAATATATTCGCGTATAAGCATCGGTGAAATTCATGGGATGTAGCGTGAATCAATACGCAACAGTGTCCGTTCTTTTCCATTTTTCTTTCTGAATTTTCAAATCTTAGAAGCTATTTGTCATGAATATTATGAAGGTTACATTATCTCGTTAATGAATTTCTAGCACCACTCGGCATCTCTTTTTTATTTATTTTTATTGTAGAGTATTATTTGGTTGCCAAGATAAGATTAGTCAATATAAAATTAAGTGTTTCGTTTGATTGACAAGATAAGATTAGCCAAGATAAGATTAAATAATTTAATGAGACTCAATTATTATTTTATTGGATCCTGGGATATTCCATAAAAATACTACCTGAAAGGAAATATAAGTCATGATAACATAATATTTGCGGGTCAATCCAACAAATGATTGGAAATGCCTAAACATCAATCATTTAACTAATCATAACTAATATCTCCAGGTAAACGAGGTCTTAGACTTCGTTTAGTTACAAAGATAAGATTAGTCAAAATAAGATTAAATAATCTACAAATAACTTATTGGGTCTCGAAACATCCAACATAAAAGTTTACTACAAGGCAATATAATACAAGATAATACATAATAACATAATATTTTGGGGTCAACACAAAAGTTATTGAACTTACCAAATATCAAAGATGTCGTATTATTTAAGGGTAAATTTCACTTTATACCCTCTTGTACTCTCAATTGCATCGATTCGCCCTCTTGTACTTTGGTTCGATATTACTTTACCACTTCTACTCTCAATTCATCGATTTGCCCTCTTGTACTTTGGCTCGCTATCAGTTTAAACTGGGAGGAGTGATTTTTTTGTAATTTTCAAACTTAGATCAAACGGTGTTAAGGTCAAAGGTCTGAAAACTAGCGGTGAGGGCCACATTGAGATAATTTTTCAAGTACAGGGGGCAAATCGATGTCATTGAGAATAAAAGGGGGTAAAGTGATATCGAGTCAAAGTAGAAGGGGGCAAATTGATAAATTGAGAGTAGAAGGGGATAAAATGATATCGAACCAGAGTACAAGGGGGTAAATCGATTCAATTAAGAGTACAATGGAGTAAAGTGATATCCAACCAAAGTACAAGGCGATAAAGTGGGATTTACTCATTATTTAATTAATCATAGCTAATCTCTCCCGCCATATAGATAATAATTTGAGGGTTACAATTTAATAATTTGAAATAGAATAAACATATTTAGTAGGCACAAGGCAAAGAGGAACTTTCTTATGCATAGTAACGCCGGGCAAAACATCAGTATCAATATCTTCCTTCTTCATCCCCTCCGGCAATCCCCAGTCGAACGAGTACACCAGATTCGCAACCGCGAGCTCCACCGTGGCAAGTCCCATCGATATTCCCGGGCAGCCCCTCCTGCCCGACCCGAACGGAATCACCTGAAAATCCTGCCCGACGATGTCGACGCTGCTGTTCAAAAATCTCTCCGGCGCGAATTCGTCCGGGCGCTCCCAGTGGTCGGGATCCCTCGCGATTGCCCACGCGTTTATGTACACCAGTGTCTTGGGATGGATGACGTGGCCCTCGATCTCGCATTCTTCGATTGTTTCTCTCGGGATTAGCAGTGGCGCCGGTGGGTACAGCCGCAGCGCCTCTTTCACCGTTGCTTTTAGGTATGGGAGATTGTGGAGATCGTCTTCGTCTACTCTGCCTTTTCCCCCAATTGAATCTCTGATTTCGTTCTGCAATTTCTTCATTGATTTTGGATTTTGCATTAGGGCGGTCATCGTCCAAATTATCGTTGCTGCTCCGGTGTCCGTTCCGGCGACGAATATATCCTGTATATATATACGGTGTTAATTAATTTCGGAAGATAAAGTCAGATATATTGCATTTAGTTCCCCTGCATTATACTGAATTGCTGAAAAACCCCTATGATGATATTTTTTCTAGCACAGAACCCCTAAATAGTGTTTTTTTAAGATAGTTTGCTAATATTAGGGTTAGGGTGGAAAATCGGACGAATTGGATCGGAATTGGCGATTTCGGAAAAAATCTGATAGGGAGAAATCAAAATTGAAAATTTGGTATACTGTTTCAAAATTGAAAATTGATTGTCATACCATGATTGTTGCTTTGACATGATCCCAAGTTAGGTCAATCGAAGACGATTTCTCTTCTTTGAGCTGGATAAACAGATCCAGGATATTCGGATTATCCGCGATTGATTTAACCCCGGTTTGATCGAGATGCTCCTCGATCAGCCCCTCGAAGAATTCATCCAAGTCTTTAAAAACCCTATCCAGCCTATCAATCATTCCGGATAACTTATCCACCCAACCAAACGAAGGCAAATAATCCGAGACAAAGAAACCGCCCTGCATGGCCTGAGCTTCAATCATGAGTTCATCGAACCTCCGTTTTCTCGATTCTTCCTCGTCGTTTATCCTGCCGAACGCGATCCGGCAGATTAAAGTGCTCGTCAGGGACAACATCAAAACAGTCAAATTCACGACAGAGTTGTTGTCCGAAAGTAGTGACAGGTTCTTGATCATACGAAAGACTTCTTCTTCGCGAATGGGCCTGAATGATTGGAGCTGCTTATTGCTCAAGAGATGAAGAACACAGATCTTTCTCAATTCTCTCCACGTTTCGCTGTAAGGGGCAAAAGCTATGTCGGAGCCGTTGTAGGATATTTTGTACTGCCCGAGAACTTTCGGCCTGCTGCAAAATGCTAGGTCATTTGTTTTCATGACTTGTTTTGCTATTTCTGGAGAAGAAACGACCACGAGTGGGACTGAACCGAGCTTCATCGACATGAGAGGGCCGTGTTTCTTCGATAGTTTCCATAAATAGATATGTGGGGCGGCGGCGTTACTGCAGAACTGGTGGAGGTTTCCGATGAAAGGGAGGCCCGAAGGGCCCGGTGGTGGATTTAGAGATTTTTTTACGAGTTTTTTCTGTGTGTTGAAGAGGAGGAAGAAGAAGACGAGAATTAGCAGAGGCGAGATCAATAATACCAGCGGAGCCATTTTACTGTTTTAGATTACGTTGTTGCGCATGATTTAGATAATGTATGTTTCGATGAGTATTTAAGGAAGGTAGTTCGGGACGATAGATAATTCATGAGGTCGTGACGCGTTTTATTACACACATTATTTACGTACACAGTACAAATGCGGTTGCGTTTTCAAAACATTGTTTAAGTAATGGTCGAGCATCTAGGGATAGATATTTGTTTGTCGTATTTCCGGGCACCGCTATCCCGATTGTTCAAAGAAATCGATTGCTATCCCGAATGTCAAAGAAAACGATAACGATAAAATTTCCAAAGGGGCACTCTAGTGGCCTGGTCCATTACAGACCTATATATATATATATCAATTCATCTGCAGCCACACATTCTTATTTTTTGTTTTTTCACTATTTGTCCGTGGAATTTTTCTTGTCCTAAATAATCGATATGGTCGAAAACTGAGGACCGTATCAATTATTTTCGGGTCGTCTTAGCTCAACCATTACATTTCTAATCAGAAAATTCGAGAAAATAATTAACAACAATCAAATATATATTGCATACATATAATTTCATTAATATATATATTTAATATGTGGTTGATTGTGTTGTAGTTTTTGATATTGTTTTTGGGGGTAAAAGAAGCCCATTAAACAAGATCGTGGGCTTATCAACGACTACTTCCACAGACCAATGGACCCAAAAAATGCATTGGATTCTACTGTATTTATTCAATATAAAATAAATTTAATAAATAATAATAATAATATTAAATTAATAATAATAATAATAACAACAATAATAATAATAATAATAATAATAATAATAATAATAATAATAATAATAATAATAATAATTCTATGATAATCTAACTTTTATCCACTGCTTAAGAAATATTGAAAAATTCTCTCTCAAAATAAAATAAAATAATAATAATAATAATAAAGAAATATAGAAACATCTATATATAATATAAAAAGAGGATCTATGCCCTCCATGATTGACATGTGGCAAATGATGATGTCATTTGTCAAAATTGCTTAGTTGGAGTTCAATTGATTAGGTGGATTCTGCAATTGATTAGGTGACATTTTTATTTATGGATGTTTTTAAGTTTTTTCCTATTTTACATTTACACAATCATTTAATAATTACCACATGTATATATATTATTTTCAAAGTTAATATTTTATAAATTCGAAATAAAAAAATCTTATTTATATTTTCAGTATTTCAAAATATATTTATTCAAATAAATTCATGAAACTCAATTGTTTTACGAATATTCAAATAATTTTCATAAAAAAATATTTTTTTAAATACTAAAATATTAAAATAAAGGAATATGTTGTTGTTATTGTTTTTTTTTTTTTTTTTAATTTTCAATATTTTAGAATATTCGAATATCGATTCCATTAAAAAAAAATAATAAAAAAATGTTTAAGTTTTTAATTGAAGTATTTAATAAATTTACACTATTTTTTTATATAACTTTTATTATACCATATTTCAAATTAAAAATAATTATATTATTTAATAAATATGCAATGCACTGTGGATTAATTCTAAATGCAGTAGTTGGTTGTATATTTGGAAAACACTATTTAATATATAATATGCTCCGAACTATAAAACGGATTATATTTATTAATTATTATTTCAAATAAAATATCAAATCACCAATATAAAGGAATCTTTAATATTCCAAAATTCTATCATATCATCTTTGATTGATTTAATTTATACTTTAATTCAAAATTGAATGGTAAAAAATAAAAATCGTATCTTCATATTTAATGTTTTAATATTGCAATATTTTTTTCCACAAGTTATTTTTTTTTTTGGGTTGTTTCCTTTATTTGTTTGATTTGATTTCGTTTATTAATATATAAATCTTTTGAATTTTTTATTTTTCCATAGAATTAAGTTCATTTTCAATACTATATAAACCCCTCAATGTTCATTTCATTTTTTTCTACCACCATTCGATTACAAAGTGCACAATGTTCGTATTATACAGTTTCATATTACATTTTTTTTTTATCATTTCTTATAAATTATTATAAGTATATATGCATAGTTTTATATTCACAATTAATTTTATATATACATAAATATGTTGAAGTCAATACTGATACTAAAAATATGTTGTCATAATTATTTTAAATATGTGCATTTCTCTTCTTTTATTTTGTGTTGGTATTATATATTTATGTATTCATAATTGTTTTATATGTTTCAACTCCATTTTATATTTGTATTTAGTTAAATAATAACATGTCATATGCTTTATGTATTTCTTGCAGATTATTTTCACGAATCCAACATCAACGCGGTTTGCTTACATTTTTTCTTTACAATTATTTATTGTATTACTCAATATTTTCTTATGATATGAATATTTTATAATGTAGTTTTCTGTAATTTGTTTTGATTTTTTTTTTATTTACATATTTGCATTATTAACACAATTTGATATATTATTTTATTTTTTTGGTTATGCGGAAGTGAGAGAAATGGGATCCAAGGGAAGTTTTACTGCAAAATTATTATAGTGAAATTGTGGTAGTTTTACTACTAGGCTTATCTTCCCTTCTTTTTAATAGGTTACAAAAAATATGTGAAACTATTTGTCGCACTAATTATTGATAGTAAATAGTTTTAAGATGATATATTATTGCAAGCAATTAATAAAAGTCTTTCGCATATACATTATGTTGTTTGTCTACTAATTCAATTTAAAAGAATCTATTACATTAAATGCCATATTATAAAATTTATTTTGTATCCTTATTCACTTGATACTGTTTCAATGAGAATTACGATTTTCTTACATTCTCTCGACATTCAATCATCGTCTACTTTATTTTTCTTTTATTTTTGTCATGCTTGGTGTATTATTAATTCATAATCTTTGTTTCGTGTAAAATCTTTGTTTGATCTATCTTATTTTTTAGTTATTTGTTTCGTTTTGCAAATATAGATAATGTTTTGACACACAAATGGGCATTGTGCACATATTTTAATCTGTGTGAATAAATTATATATGAATAATTTATAAATTTTATATTTTTTTATTATTACATTATTATGTTTTATAAGTATAAAATTATTCTTTATATTAATTTGAAAGATATAATTTGCATAATGACCGGATTTGTTTTACCAACTAAAATAAATGATTGATTTAGATTTTTAGTTTTTAATTGGTTATATTAATGGTAATATTATAATTAATGATTCAATTAACTAAATCTCATTAATAGTTATTGAAAATTATAATAATGGAAGAATGAAAGTGAATGATTAATGTTTGATTTGGATAGTATAATTTTACAGAATTACACAATGTTTTCAATCCACAAATTCCGTCTTTTGTTATATTGTAAATAGTAATACAAACATGTGTTTTTTTTAAGGGAAATCTATATAATATATGAAGACAAAAGCCACAATTAAGGATTGTCATTTCTAATTTTTACCCCACAATTTTCATTTAATTTTCACTTGGCATCATAATTTCTTTTAATTACTACGTATATACCTTTTTGTCCAAGTTTTCATTTTATATATGCAGTTTCTTTAAATATATGCATATCCACGTATACGCTATACCTAAATCAATAAATAAATTATTTTCTATTTCATTTTAACATTTTAATTTATGACTCAAAAAAGAAAGTTTTCAAAATTTTTTATCTATACACATAATTGATTCCTATAACCAATAACCAAAAAATCGCTTTCTATAGCCAATAATTTATATCCGGTTTTTTAAATTAAGAATTTAATTTATTATGTTAATAACCAACATTTCCAATATAATATACCAATCACGATTTTCGATTATTTTTTTACTACAATCAATCATCAATCAGTCCATAAATTTGAGCTATTAATTCCCTAATTATGTTAAATTGTTAATATCAATTTATAATTTAATTGTCGAACATATATAAACCTGAAAAGATCTTTTTACACCACATCTAAAAAACACTATAAAAACTCCATTATTTTCACTCATATTTTTATATCCCATCGGTTTTTTTGTTTGCTTTGTTTTCATGATTTATTCCCCTATTTTTTTCTCAATCGAATTTTTATTTGTTCATCCTAAGAACATTAATTGGAGTTCGATGTTATTTATTTTTTCTTGATATTAATTTTCATTATTTGTTGTTATTTTTTTCCATTCTTCTAAATTTGTTTCCATTTCATTATGTCTTTCTTATTTTTCGTAAAATACGTATTGTGTAGGGATGGCAATTTGACCCGCCCCGATGGATTCCCACCCCGCCCCGCCCCGAAAAGAAATGGGGCGAGTATGGGGATTGATTTTTTTTTTTACCGGGTATACGGCACCTATACCCGCCACGTACCCGTCCCCGTACCCGCCCAACATTATTTATATATATAATATATATTTATTAATTATTATATTAAATATAAACAATTAAATAATAGTAATATATTAAATATTAACTATAAATGAGGATTTTTAGGTTTCGATTATATAATTAAATATTAGTATTATAATTAAATATTAGTTTATTTATTGAAATAAGCCTTTACATTAAAAGTAGATTGCATATTTATTTATTGAAAAAAAAAGGAAAAAAATGGATGGGGATTTTTACCCGCCCCGATACCCGTGGGGATTTTATGGGGAGGGTATGGGGATTCTTTTAATACCCGTGATGATTTTTGACGGGGATGGGAATTTCCAAAGCGGGACGGGGATGGAGATCGCAAAACCTGCCCCATTGCCATCCCTACTATTGTGGTTTGTAAATATCATAATATTCCGTTATTATTTTTATTGTTATTTATTGTGATTAGTTATTATTTTTATTCTTATGTTATTATTGATATTTTTTCTTCATTGTTATATTATTTTTATTATTGTTGATGTTCATTTTTTATTGTTAATCTTTGTTATTCTTTTTCCATTTCTTCTTTTGTTTTTCAGAATCGCGAGAAGGTGTGTAATATACCACAAAGCTAATCATTAATAACTCGACAATGAGTTGGTTTACATCGACAATGCTATATCCTGACAAGAAGATTATTCAATTGAAAAGTGTGGTAGACAAACTGTGATTCAAAATATTTATGCATTATATTGAACTTTGTAGTGTGTTTTTCACATAGGTCGGATTTTGGTAATTTCAAATGTTTATACTTATATCAAGCATTGTAAATTAAACCTTTTATGTCGTATGCAAATTTCTCTTTTGGCGATGCAAGATGCATCGTAAACATGCAATTTTGTATAAGTTTCCAACTCTATTATTATATAAAATTTTCGGTTATGAATAATCAATTATCGTAAAGTTTTGGACATGATTTCAAAAAATATTATATTTTTCGTCAATTATTATTTAAATATATTATTGTGTTTATTTGTTCCATATTTGTATTTGTTAATGATTAACTAATAATCTAATATCGAAACTTATCAAATTTCTTTATTCATTCGAAATGTCGGATTTGGTTATCATTTTTGGTTTGGCTAAAAGTTTAACGATCGATGTATATTAATTGATTATTTTCTTATCAACATGTAATTTACTTAATTATCATGTACACTTCAAGTATAAAACTCTTATCCCTTAATCACGATTTGAGATTATTCTATCATTTTTACGATGTAATGCATGTGCATTGCATGTATGGCGAGGTTAGTTTTAATGCATGTGCATTGCATGAGTGGCGGTATGAGTATCATTACAATTAGTATTTATATCATTAGTATATGTGTTAATATGAGTATATGTGGGTTTATACTATGCTACACCGGGTGAAACACACCGGGTAGATCTTTACAATTAATACACACACAAATACACACACATCCACATTGGTGTGTCTAGATCAACGGTAAAAAATCACCCGGTGTAACCTTCACCGGGTGTAGCATAGAAATAACCGTATATGTGTTAATATGAGTATATGTATCAGTATTTGCATTAGTTTAATTATTATTATTAGTATTAGTATTAGTATTAGTATTAGTATTAGTATTAGTATTAGTATTAGTATTAGTATTAGTATTAGTATTAGTATTAGTATTAGTATTAGTATTAGTATTAGTATTAATTAGTATTAGTATTAGTATTACACTACCAAAAAACAGGGCTTTTGTAACGGAAATTTTGTGACCCACCCAAGCCGTCACCACGAGTGACAAAATTCTTGACACATTTGTGACCGTTTATGATTGAGAAAAATAGAATTTGTTTAAGACAGATATGTGATGAATTTTGTGACGGAATTTGTGACGGTACAACTTCAGTCACCTTGTAGTCACAATATGTATGACGGAAATTGATTTGGTCATCAATCGGTAACAATTATGTTATGGAAACGAAAATCCGATTTACTTCTGTCACCAGTCCGTCACACATTCATTCCCATCACTACTCCGTCACCATCATTCGGTCATAGATCCGTTACAATGAAATGTCGTCACTGACCCATCACTGCCTCAATGTTATCACAAATCTGTCAAATATAAGACGGTCACAGATCCGTAATAGTTCATAATCCGCCACACATCCGTCACTAACTTTTTTTGATCACGAATCTGTCACATGTAATTCGGGTCATAGATCTGTCACAAATTAAGGTTCGTCATTGATCCATCACCAACGCATTTTTATCACAACTCCATCACATTATATTTCTCCTACAACATTGATAAATTAAGTGATAATGAAAGTATAACCCATCCAATTTAATATATGTTAGGTTTGTTTGTCAATAAATTCTAAAATTGCTTTTTAGTTTCCACCCATAATTATTGAACAAATAAATTTACTTTATTGGAAAAAATAGATTTATCTAAATAAATCGAATCCAATTCATAAGTATTTAATTTATCTCAATAACTAAAAATAATAATATTAATGAAAAAATGATTAAGGATATATACACACTTACATAGAATATGAAGAAATAAGAATAAGAGAGGTGGAGAAATGCCTAAGCATGAGAGAAAAAAATAGTTAAGCAATTGTTTCTGTAAGTTCAAATATTTCATAAAAAAATTATTAATAAATTGACCAATTATTTTTAAAGAATAAATTTTCCATGTAATATATAGAAAAAAATACTCAAAAAAATTATTAGTAAATCTGCATCTATAGAAAACAAGGAATAATAATTTTATACATAAAAAATTATAGGAACAATAATTGAAACAGAGTCTTCTTTTACAATTATAGAAAACAAGGAATAATAATTTTATACCCTCAAAACATTCCACGGTGGATATTAACATAGATGGAAACAGAGTCTTCTTTTTTCTCAACCCAACTCTCGTCGATTGTTACAGCGCCGTAACCTAGTTCGTTCACTTTTTTCCACCCAACCCCGTGAAACAAAGATTCAGAAGCATCGGTGGTTTGAGTGTCGATTTCTACGGTGAAAGATTCAGAATCTAATCAGCGGCGGCATAATTGGGGTAAAAACACAACAACGGATCAATTGATTTCTACGGTGAAAGTTTTCAACGATTAGACAACATCGTAGCGCCGACGACAACATTCGAGCGTAATTGATTTTCTACCGGTAGATAAAAACACAACAACGGATCAATTGCTGGCGATTGCATCAAGGTTTCAATTACTTAACCCAATTATAAACTATCAATTTGCAGATTTGTGATGTTATTTAATTGATAAAATTATAATTCATGTAATAGAAAACTTCCTATATGTCTACCTTGCGAAACTTCTATGTTTTGAAAATTGATTTATGTCCTTGTTCTGTCAATTTGTATTATGTATGTGCTTTTCTGATTTCCGTTTTTTTGATATGTGAATCGCATTTATGCTGCAAGTATTTGATCGATCACTGGGCTGAACACAGGTAGACTCAACTTTGCTACAGTTTGTCTTGACGGATTCCACTTCACTAGCCTTAGATTTTACTCTCTTATTTTGGTCAGTAGAATTATTCGAGCAACCATTGCCACTCCTACGGTAACTCATTGCAGTCATTGGCTCATTGCCACTCCTACAAAAGGTACACCGTCAACTGTAATATATTTGTTTCTCTAGTTGAATGTTGCTCGAATTTTTATAATCACTCATGTTTCTTGTGCACGAACAATCTATTGTCGTTATGTATAAAACCGAAAACCATTTAGTAATAAAATCAAGGAACTAAACCATTTACTTATATGATTAACATATATATATATATATATATATATATATATATATATATATATATATATATATATATATATATATATATATATATATATATATATATATATATATATATATATATATATATATATATATATATATATATATATACGACCAGAATTGAATCAAGGGGTAAATGAGTTTCTAGATTTTGCTTACTCTCATTCTATAGTTGACCATGGGAAGATAAGATGTCCTTGTTTTAAGTGCTGCAATCGAAAATTTGATTCTCGAGATAATGTGCATTATCACATTAAAAAATATGGGTTTAAACATGGTTATACTACGAGGGATGCACATGGTGAACCATGGAGAACACATAATACTAGGGAATGTTCAGGGTCTATTTTTGTATATTTTTTAACAATATTTAAATGTTATATTACACGTTAATAAGTTTAGTAATATACTACATAATGAAGTTATTTTCTAGATTTTTAGGCCATTTAAAGAAAAAGGTGAAAAATCGAGCTCGAGTTGAAGGGTCCATTGTAGAAGCATACATCATCGAGGAAGTATCAACATTTTGCTCCTTATATTTTGAGTCTAGCGTGGAAACAAGATTAACGCGACTTCCAAGAAATGATGATGGTGGAGAGATAGATTCTAGTAGGCGGCTTTCCATTTTCAGTCATCCGGGGAGGCCTCTTGGAAGTCTGAAAGATGGTCGGTCGTTTATAAATGAAGACGAAATAAATGCTGCACATAGATATATTCTATTGAACTGTATTGAAATCCTTCCTTTTGTCGGGTGAGTATTAATTTCCGAAAACGACAAAGATCAACAACACTATGATTCCACTGGTACCGACGATAAGGTATATTTCATAGTTTGTGTATTCTCAATGTTTATCCAAGCATTGTTTGATATTGTCACCTGCATTAATATTTTTGTTATAGTGTGGTAGAATATATATCTACAGTACTGCATGATTTTTTTACAATTGTACATCTCTTAATATATTTTGATGTTTACACGATATACACAAACACGTTGTATTTGATTGATTCTATTTGATTATTTTTCATGTGATTATTCGCAGGATTTCAGCCGTTAGGGAAAAGGTAAAGCAAAAGGTTAGAGCGATGGGATATTGATAAAACGACAAATACTATAGTGAAATAAGATGTGAGAAAATCAATACTTGTAAAGGAAATAGTCACATTATGATATCGTTACGTACTTATTGTGATCTTGTGAGAGTTCTTTCGATGTGATTTCATATATTTTTGACGTTTATGAGTTGTTGGATTGATTGAGATTTAAGCCCTTGCCGGGATTTATTGTGTTTTATTAAAGTTATGAATGTTTATGTACGTTATGTTTACAATATTTATTGATTTTGGAGATTTATGAAAATTTTAGAATATTTAACTAGCAGGTTAAGAAATTAATATATAAATTTTAATAAAATATAATTACTGCATTAATAATTTGTGACGAAAAGGTGACCTTCTTATGATGGATTATAATTTTCAATTGTTAAGGATTTGTGACTGATGATTGACGGAAGTACTGTGACGTATTTTGGTGACGGAGATTTGTGACCAATATTATATGGCGGATATATAGTTTGTGACGGCTACGTTGTGACGGAGGTTGGCGACCGACGTTGTGACGGATAGTGTGTGACGACGAGTTAGTCACAAAGTATTGTGACACTATTTATGACGTAAACATGACGGAAAATATTTATTGAGTAGTGACAGATTATGGACAGAATATCTTTGTTGGTGACGGCATCCGTCACCGAATTTACGAAAAATATTTTGATGCTTACTGACGGAATACTGACATTATAAATTGTTTGTGACGGACTCCGTCACAACATTGAATGACGGAGTATGGACGGAAAAAAATTGTTAGTGACGGAATCCGTCACAGAGTTTATGGAAAATTTTGGCCTAAACATTGACGGATGGATGACAGCAATAATTTGTTGTGACGGCATCCGTCAAAACGTTTAGAGACCTTGTATATGGTATCAGTGACGGAATTAATTGTGCTTCGTGACGATGCTATCCGTGATAACAGATGTGACAGAATTAAAATATCCGTCACCAATGTTATTTGTGACGAGGGTTTTTCTGACAGACCTATTCGGTTACAACGTCGTCACAAAAGCTTATTTGTGACTGATTTTGTTCAATTTTGTTACGAAAATGTCTGTCACAAAAGCCCTGTTTTTTGGTAGTGTTAGTGTTAGTGTTAGTGTTATTGTTAACATTAGTATTAATATTAGTATTAGTATTGATATTGGTATTTGGTATTAGTATTCAGTATAAGTATTAGTATCATTATTAGTATGTGTATTAGTATTGGTAGTAGTGTTACTAATGTGTTAGTATTATTATTGGTAATAGTATTAGTGTTAGTAATGCGTTAATATTATTGTTAGTATTAATGTTAGTATTAGTATCAGTATTAATTTTAGTATTAGTATTAGTCGTATTAGCATGATTATTAGCATTAGCATTAGTATTAGTATTAGTATATACTGTGAAACACTACTTTAATAATTAAGTTTCTGTTAAGGATCCAAGTGTATTGGATGAGGTAGTAGTACCATTTGGGTCAGATAATATATCCTATTTTTTATATCACAATTTTTACATTTATATTTTCTTTTATTATTTTTTTATATCGTTACTTAAATCAAATGGAATTGCTATTGTTTCCGTGATGAAGAATCATACTTAGAATTAATCTCCGTGCATCGCACGGGTGAATTACTAGTAACATTTTAAAATTAAAAAGCTACCTCTAATTTAATTATATTTGTCTGATTTAATAAAGTTTAAAACTTGGGGAATAAACAGGCGAGAGACGCAGAAAATCAGCAAAGCCCTCGTTAGGGTTTAACCGCCAATCCATATTGATTCATGCTAGATTCAGTAAAATTCAATCTCAAGTCATATCATAAATTACAGCATTTCTACAGCTTTTGATTTCCTCACAGAATCCGTGGTAAGTTATGGAACATGGCACTGGGGAAAGAGAGGGATTGACGCTTGTCGCAAGAAAACCTTGTTTCGGGCTGCCCACCGCTTGTCCTAATTGTCTACCAGTCTACATTTACCTTAGATTTTCCAAGATCCCGTTTAATTTGGAATTCAATCTCATTCACCCTGATTCTGGTACCTTTTTTTTTCTACCTAAAGTTTCGTTTTTTTTTTCTAGTGTTCAATTCTTTTGTTGCGTCTTCTCTTACAGTATGCTTTCCGTTTTGTAATTATGTTACATTGCTGTGATTCGTTCTCGGCTTTATGGTGTAATTTTAGATTGTCATGGTTTAGATTCTAATTGTGATCCAAAATCGAGCCCTTTCGCATTCATATTGTTTGGGAGAATAGATCGTCATTGACCCATATATATTCAAGTTTTAATGTAGCTTAAAAACAGCTGGAAAATAGCAACTAGGTAATGCAGAATTAGATAAAACTTGCTTACAAGAAACTGAGCCGTAAGTCATGATTGTTATTGATTAGATGAATGTAGGGGATTATGCTGATGCTTTGTCAATTGTTAGTATATGCTGCATGAGTGATAGTTTGTTCAAACATTTTACCTGATTTCGACTTCGGGGCTAGGATTTGTCTAGCTTTTGAGGATTTTTTGGGCTTCGATGTTGTAATTTGGTATATTCAACTTCTTTCATAAGTTGCTTGGTGTGTGATCTATGCTTGTCCGCAAATTTTGGCCTTCCTTTTTTTCGGGTCATAGGTGATAATTAAGGTTAAGTCAGACTATAATTTTTGCAATTAGATTGGTCCAACTCTTCTATCAAATGTTTTCCCCTTCTTCTTAAACCTTTATTCCGATTGAAAGGATTCTTTTTTTTTTTTGTATGGATCTAATAGCTCTAATTTTGGCCTTACGGTCCTGCTATACATAGAATATTTTGGTTTGTCTCTTCATGCTTTAAACCAGTAATTGTGTTCTGAGTTCATATCGGCTGTTACCTAAATCAGTAGTTTCAGCTTTCAATATCTGAAATCGTTCTTGATAGAATTCATTGTACTTTTACCAGATCAAATACCCTTTGTTGAATCTGGTGATCGTGTGGCCTACAATAATGAAAAAGGTGGCGTGATTCAGAATTTGAAGGAAGATGGCATTGTTGATTTGGACTCCGGGGTCAGTGGTTTACCTGAATGGGTATCAACGAAGGCAATGATCGAGTCGTGGCTTGCCGATGCAGTCATGTATGAACTCTGGCTAGGCTCTGATGGTAAGTCAGCTCACAAGATTTATTACTCCGATCTCCCTTGGCCGATAGGGAAAATTTTGTACTTTAAGCAAGTTCACGCTGTGAAACAACTATTTGGGATAACATCAGACAATGCAGAGAATAGAGAAGAAGAGGTACTACTGTTTACATTTGTTTCTCATCGAATTTAGTATTTTAGTGTCTGGTCAAAGAACATTGAGTATATGATCTACACTCCCATTTCTTGAAATTTACACTTGTGTGTGTGTGTGTGGGCATTGATTTAAGCCCGTGTAGCATCGATCATTTCCACTTGACTAGTGAGGCATTGGTGGAATGTTATACAGATTTATGCGTATTACTTCTTGGATACGCTAGAAAAAAAACGTAAAATATAACCGTACAATGCTGTTTTTGTGCAGATATACAGTAGAGCAAGCTTGGCTTATGATGCTTTATCATCTAGGTTAGGGGAAGAGTCCTTTTTCTTTGAAAACAGGTGCTCCCCTTTGCTCTGTGCACTTGAACAATTGCCATTTCTGAAAACAATAGATTTCTTGTATTCGATTCGGTAACATGCTGCCTATAGCATTGTCTTAAATGCAGGCCGACAAGTTTGGATGCAGTTTTTCTTGGGCACGTTCTGTTTACCCTTCATGCCTTACCGGTGAGTGCTTCTAAGAGTTCTATGCTCTTTATCTTCTCTAGACAATTAATTTAAGGAGATCTTTTTCAAATTTTTTTACTTCCTAAAGACGAAAGAAATAGACATAGAAAGTAAACAAAAATTTGAAACAACCAAAAGGTTGAATCATTATCGAGACTGTTGGGCCCGTCTAGGTTAAATGGTTAATCCTATAATCTTTTTAAGATTATGTTGAGTGTTTATGCCCATTACTGCAATATTTAGAATCATTTTGGCTGTTCTATGACATGAATATACAGAAGGATGAACTTTAAGATTATGGGATTGTCGTGCTTCTTGGAACATCAATTTAATTTGGTTTTCGTTGACTCATTAATGCATTTAAGAAGATTGTATGATCAAATTTTCTTTAATAATATATCATATTTGTGATGAGCTCAATGCATCACATCCTTTAATCTTTTTTATTTTATTTTTTATAATAGGAAACATCGGTTCTAAGAAGCAAGCTCTTGGGTCATGCTAATCTTGTAAAGTATGCCGAGAACCTTAAAATGGAGTATATAGATGCCAGCTCATCATCTTCATCAGCTCCACAGTCGGACCCTTCTTCATCAGCTGCAAGAAACGGCCCCTCGTACTGGCGTAAGTCTTATTCAGCATTTGCTATTCACCGTTTACGTATTGTTTTTGTGTCTTTGGATCAATAATTGCTGGCTTCTATGCTTCATTTTATCCATTATTAAAATGTGTCGTGTATTAAATGAAACCCGTTATGAACGAAACATAGGTTCAAAGCCGAAGAGTAAACCTAAGAAGGAGAAGAGTGAAGAAGAGAAGAAGTTCAGGAGAAGAGCTAAGTACTTTCTGGCTACTCAACTTGTTGCTGTTTTAGTTTTCCTCTCTCTCCTAGGTGGGTCCGACGATGCTGACGTGGATCTTGGAGACGATGACGACGTTATGGGGTTTGACTAGGAATTTTACCCTGCCAGCTAGATTATTTTTCATCCTTTTCTACTTTCACTGCCTTGAGTTTGCAAAATCTGCATATATACATACAATTCCTTGATTGGTTCTTTAACTATTTCTGTCATTTTTGGACCAATAGGGGTAAGTTCATCTCTTTCTCTCTCACACACAAACACACATTCTTGGCAATAAATGCACACTTTGCAAAGAGTGATTAATTGATAATTACTGATAATTAATTGCTTTCAGTGTGGAGCTGATGATTACTTGCAGTGACTTTTTTTATATAAGTAGTCGAATAATTCCGTCGACATTTATTTTTCCTTGCTTTTTTTACCATGTTTCGATTTATCGACATTCGAAGCTAAATTATCGATAATAGCGTAATTTGAAAGACGTAATAGTTTTTTATTTTTTTATTGATTAAACATATTTTTATTTTCATGGCCAAAACAAAAAAAATAGAAAATGCAATACAAGAAAATAAAACAAATAATAACGCAACATAATCATTGAGGTGTCTCTGTAGCAGATTCTTTGATAGGAGTCGCCGCCGCCGGCACATCCACACCACCAACTGATCTTTCTGTACGTTCTCCGGCAGCACAATTACCAGCAGCACCACCAGTATATGGAAGCGGCGGCGGTGGTGGTGGTGGTGCTGCTTGCTCGTCTGACATAACGTCGATAAACCATTGCTCATTCTTCAAATTATCTATCCCTAATTCAAACTCCAACGCAGAAGCTTCACCACCACCACCACCACCACCCATGATCTGTTCTTTCCGATCGCCAGAATAGAAAAACAGCGGCGGTGGCGGTGGCGGTGGAGGAGGAGGAGGAGGAGGAGGAGGAGGATACAACGGCAGCTCCAGTTCATCGAGTTCTTCCAGCATCTCATCAGCAACTGAGTTTAACTCCTCCAACTGAAACAAGTCAACTTCATCCAAATACTTCTTATACAATTCTTCCCTCCGGCCAATATTAACCACCATCTGCTGAGATTCTCCGATTTCGACCCTCCTCTTCAATTTCGATAAACATTCCATCTCCTCGTTAATTCTTTGATCCATATATCTCTCATGCACAATCTTTCTTTTACTCCTCTCGAAATTCGTGAAGTTGAAAAATCGATGGAGCCTCTCCCTAAACATCGAAGGAGACGGCCACAATACCGCGTTGTCTTCTACTACTCCTCCTCCTAGGTTCTTATGGACAACAATCGCAATGTCGACTCCACATAGGACAGAGAGTTCGTTCGCTTTCTTGACCAAACCATCTGTCCTTTTTAGCAGTGTCGCGTTTCTCTTGCTTTCGTTGCTTATTAGCTCGTGCGTTATCCTTTTCCTTGTCATATTTATTCTTTTGCTGATAATTATGTAATTAATTTTTTTTTTTTTTGCATGTAATTTTGTATTTTGGTTGGAGGTATTTATACAAGAGAAATGGCATTACTTTTAGTAAGAATGTAATATTATGTTGTGCAATGCAGTCAAAGAATTTACTGTTGATTTCAAGATCACTCCCTATTTACCATATAACCTCAGTATTCTAGACCCCTCTAATTTTAAACTTTCTATATATTAATTGAAATAGTTATGATCAAATTCATTTAAAATAGATTGCGTCAATTATATCGAAAATCAACAATTTATGAGTATCAAATACTTGTAATATAAAAGTCAAATCATATACAGGAATTTGTTTTACTGATTTAGGAAGTTATTAGCATGAAAAAACAGTAAATATATATATTTCATTAAATTCGAAAAATAATTGAAAATGAAAAACCTTTCTTGGATTACAACAACCTGTTTATCTTCTGTTCTTACAATTCAGGTGAAAATTGCATATGCATATAGAGCAAAAGCTACACATATACCTATTTGCTACAACATAAGTTAAACTTTGTAATAATGTACATTCATTTCCTGCTACACTATAACTCTACCGAAAAAAGAAAAGAAAAAAAACCCCTCAATTTCCTTTTCCATCTAAACTTTTCGTCTCGCCATTAGTATCCCGTTTCTCGATCAAATCCTTATACCCTTGTGCCGAGCAAACAGCAAACTCAGTGAGTGCACTCACCGAAACCGACATTCCAGCACACAGCACTCTTATCGCGACCTCAGCCATTTTCTCCGCCGTCACCACTTCATCTTCATCACCACCACCACCACCAATCACCTCCACCACCATGTGGTCCCCACCAAACCTCTTCGAACCACCACCACCACCGCCGCCACTAGACAATCTCCTTCTAGAATCTTCCCTCAGCTGCTGCTCGTACAACGACCCCACCCCAGCAGCAAAAAAGTCCATTCCATCAAGCACCGTTGCTTCCCTTACCCCATCCAAGAATCTCAACCAATGGATGCATATCTGAAATATAGGTGGGGCCCCCAAAGACCTTCGGGGAGAAAACGGCGATTTCGACGCGTCGGGATCGGGCCCCACGCATCGAAGCAGCCAGCTTGTCAGTGCGTGCACGTAGGATCGTTGAGCAACGATCCACGTAGCAAAGCATGCCCTCCAGTTTCTTAGCTCAGCCTCGAGACTGGCGGCAGCACGAGCTAGCCTGTGAGGCTCCGATGGTGACATTATTGTGTACTTTGATATATTTTTTTTCGAAGGTGTTCCGGCAAGTAATATCTTGGCTTCGTCTAGCGTACGCTTCTGCAGTTGATGGCACTCTGCCATTACTTTCCACATTCTTGATAATCTGTTTTCGTAATTTTGTTGTCGAACAAATTTATTAGAATACAAAAATGGGATCATTAATATATCTCATTAATACTAGGAAGAAATAAAAAAAATGGATTTTGGAATATACCCTTGAACCAATTCTAAAAGCTGAGGCTCGAGTTCTTCGTCTCTTAGGGTTTCGATCCTCTTCGAGATGGCTTCAACTGTGTGTATTGAGACTTTTATCTTGGTTTGAAGATCTCTAATGGCGGCCCTTGTTTTGTCCACGAAAACAGGGTCGTCTCCTTTTACGTCTTGGTTGCTTAGCTGCGTGCACTTCTTTTCGTACGCTATACGAATACGCTCGCCAGCCTGTCAATGATAACTTACTAGTAACTCACATTGGATAACTTTCTGAGGATTTTTAATGTTTCAAGAAAAGTTTTGAGAAGCATGCATACCCTAACTTCCTGGTAAAGTTTCTTTTCCCAAGCGTAGAGTCTGTCAAGAGTTGATTGGTGACTGCCTGAAAATATGCAAGATTCTTCGGAGAAGTCGCTGCTGCTTTCGGAGCATTCATCTCTTGAAGTTGAAGCTGAAGCTGAAGCTGAAGCACTGACCATAAATCTTGATGATGATGATCGAGACGAACCCGATCTAAATAATGCTACTGGATTAAGCATCTTCATTGCTGTAATCAATAAAGAAAAAGAGAATGATGGATTAGAGAACAAATTTTGAAAGACCATTCAATTAGAACTTGAAATACTAGACAGAGCATTTGTGCAAAAGGAGAAAAAAAATTAATGTATGACTAGACTACAACAGTTGACGTGAGAAGCATTTCTGCTAAGTTTAGCTGCCGTCGGTTGAATTTGGAAACACCGAAAGATGACAAATATTAATCTATTCAAAAGAAAGATGAATTTGACTGGCTATCTTAACACGCTTTCTTGAAGCATATTCTTCACATGAGAATTCCTTTTGAGAGTGAAATTAATGCATTATAAACGACTGGATTCTATCACAGATAACAACTGTCATCTTTCATCGATATCAACATATATATTGGCAGGTTGAGCTAAAAGATCTATTAAATTACAAGAAAAAAATCATGCTTTGATTAACGCAACATTCCAAGATAATTTAAGATTATTTTCAGACCTGTTAGATCATTCAATGATGATGGTGATGAGTACTGAGCTCTGCTCGACTCCAAAATGCATGACATCTCTCCAGCGGCATTACAAGCAGCCATGAATTGATCTTCAAGATCCTTAATAACTTCCGCCATATTCGTCGGCCTTCTATTCACATATACAGTGAATCCAGGTGTCGTTTCCTCTCTTGATTCACAATCCGCAACTGCCTTTGCTTCCTTTTTACTTATTTGCCCCACATTTTGCGATTTCGCCACTTCTACACTTTCTTGTTCTTGGGAAGGCATTTCTTGGACATGTTCCTCCATTTCACAGTCGCTGTCATCACTATCATCACTATCGTTAACATCTTCAACAACAACTTCTTCTCTATCAAAGTTCAGTTCTCGCTTAACGCTCTCTTCTTTCTTAAACACCCTCCTAACATCAACTTCTTCATGCTCCGTTTCCTCTTCTAAATCAGGTATGCCTTCTTCCTCTCGAACTTGCTGTAGCCCATCATTATCGTCATCCATCATTGTCTGATCAAGACTGGTTCTTGTTGGGTAGCCATAGTAATCCAACGAAGAAAACGGGTTCCAGAAAAAATCCCATTGAGATGCTTGTGGAGAAGGTGGAGGAAAACTAGGCCTATTGTTGGGCGAATACTGAAAAAACGAAGAATTCATCGGAGATGATTGCATAGAAAACATGCTATCCATGCCAAAATGAGGCGTGGGAGAGTAGAAAGCTTCAGCTCTGTAAGTTTCCGGTGATTGAGGTGGTCTCTCTTCAACAGAAACAGACGAATTTCCACCGGACTTAAAGTAGTTTATTTTGTAAGAAGATTTTGTTTCGGTTTTAAACGGTGTCACTGAGAAGGAACCACCAGGTGTTATAGATATAAAACCCGGGCTCGTTGTTTTCTTTGGCGTTGTGAATGAATCCAATAGAAACTCACGAGGCTCGTCCACATCAATATATTCCCGAAGTGCAGCGGACACTCTTTTCATGGCTTGTATGTAAGCAATGTGTCCCGATGCGAATTTTGTTCTTTGCTCGACGGCTTGTCTGATGAACTTCTTACGGTCTTTGCATAACTGGACAGCCTCTTCATCGTCCAACTTGGATGAAGAACATCCCATTGTCTTTTAATTTTCTAGGAATTTTTCAGGCCTGAATCGAAATGGGAACCACGAAGACAAAGCTGTCTTTGTGTCCCTACAAGATTCATAAGGAAATCCCTCTCTGCAGAGAGAAAGTAATAAGTATTAGAAGTAGAATCATAGGAAGTGTAAGCAGCAAAGAAAGGGGAGATACAAACTAGAAAGAAAGAGACAAAACTAAGGCTATTTAGCAACAAACAGTGGAGATTCTTTACTTTGATCTGAAGACAGCTTATAAAGTGATAAAAGAGAAAACTGCAATTTAGGGCCTTCATCTATTATCTCGTATCAGATAGGTTATAGTAGTTCTGGGGTTTTCGAAAACCGGAACATTAGAGGGTGGAAACTTACCAAGAGTACACAAAAAAGGATAATTCAAATTTAGTTTTCAGGTGAAAATCTTTATCATAAAGTCAGTGGGAACACACAGCAAACACATTAAAGGCTAAAGCAAATGCTTCTTATTAGTCCATCACATGATTAAAAAATCAGAAATTAAGGCCTCCTCGAACCGAGAAAAAGTCGAAAACAAAACTTATGTGACGAAATGTATTGAAAACAGAATGGATCCGAAACATCTCTATGAAAAGAAACAAATAAGTAGGACAAAGAAGAGAGGATGAACATCAATCAACGACTCGGTAATTTTAACAAACACATGGCGGAAATCATGTCACAAAATAATCAATCCCTCTGTAGAAAACATTAAAAAAAATTAAAAAAAAAAAGAAAAGAAAAAATGAAACAGCAATACTACTGACGCGATAGTCAGAGCAAACCCTCTTTGGAAAAAAAAAAAAGAGAGAGAGAGAGAGAATTTCTTTTAACAATCCAAGGAAAATGAGGAAATACGGATTTTGATGAATTAACAAAAGCCCGTGTACAAACAATTTAATTCCTGCAAATAGTAAACCAAGACGAAGAATCGTGAATATGGGTTTTTAGGTGACCAAACATGGGGCAAAACAAAAACTAAAACCTCGTTTCAGGAAATGATAATTATTCATGTATGAATTATGAAACCCTCTACAGCGTAGCTAGTAAACAGAGAAAGAGAAAAAATGAGAATCGAATGAAAGAGAACATTCGTACCCCAATGCAGAAGTTGTTTTTTGCTTGCTGCTTCAACACTGGTGTGGTGTGGTGTAGAGAGAGAAAGGGGAAGAGAGAGAAGAGAGAGAGAGACGTTGGTGAAGAGGAGAAAAGCAACGGTCAAAAGATTTGATTAAAGGCAACAAAAGAAAAGAGGAAAATAAAATAAAACCAAAGCAAAATAAAGGAAAAAGCATGATAACATTATGGCCCTTATTCTTCTTCTTATTTACGGATACGCCCTCGGTCTTTTGATATATTTTTTTCCAACAATTAGGCATGACTAATTATTTTCTCATGATTTGTCAATCCCAACCATAACTATGGAATTTAAAGCTATTTATTCAATGATGAGGATTTTATTTTTATTTATTTTTAAAACGTAATTAACTAATTGCTATGTCATTTTCACTTGTTATTATTTGTTAATTAATAAGATTAACGAATTAATTAATTAATTAGGGAATAAAGAATTGGAAAAATAAAGGTTAATGGGGAGTGTATTCGTGAAGATAAAAAGGAAAAGAAAAAAAAAGTCGGCCATAAAGCAGTAAAGATTAAACCGGGGCCCATATAAAAGCCCAACCTGATGTGCCTGAGCATTAAGTTTTATTTTTTAATGAAATTGTCTGCGAAATAGCATCAAATTACAACAATGACACTGGAATGGGAAAAGGGCATTTATTAGATGTCGAAACCGGACGGAACTGATCGGAAATAGGTTTTTCGGATATCTTATATATAAAAGAAAGAAACGCTAGGCAACCCTAAAAAACCCTAATGATATTTTGTAATTATTTATTTTAAATATTTTTTCTCTATTAATTTCTAACTATTTATTTTCAACAATTATCAATCTTCTATTTTCCATCAATATATCTTAAATCTTAAGAGATAAAGATAGAAATACGATTTGATAAATGTTAATCTATATATTTGGATTATAAATATTAATATATAAGATTTTTTTTAAAAAAAACTAATGCTATATAAAATATGAACAATACTACATTATTAAATTTTACTATGTTAGTGTACTATATTTTCTTATTATGTCTTAAATTGATTTTTTTTTTCACTTTTAAAGTTATTCTTTTTTCACTTTTAAAATAATATCCCGTGCATCGCACGGGAGAAAAAATGCTAGTTTTTCTAAAAGAAAATCGAAAGTTAAAAATGGATCTAATTTTCGTTCTAAAAAAATCATTCCAATTTTAGAAATTTGAAGATTACACTAATTTATAAATTTCCGTTCTAAATTCGGGTATAATGTGAACTTGATTAAAAAAAAAAAAGGTCGAAATTTTCCAACACAATACAATAAACCCAAAAAAGAAAGAAAAAGAAAAAAAAAAGAGTTCGATAAAACGCAATAAAAGCATACGTGCAAACAACATAATCTCGCTAAAGACGAACAATGTAAGAGATTCGAAAGATAAAACACCTTGGTAGCTGACTTGTTTATTAAAATCTTATGATTAACCCAATCGTAAGAGACGAACGACATTCGGAAAATACCGAAAGCTTTTGTTATTGCGAAGAAAGTCCGGCGCAAAATTATCGAGAATGTAATGATATCTACTACCTCGACCAAGATTGGGGTGTTGGGATTCAGCCATTGCTGGTAATGCATCCAGTTGTGTGGGCAGCAGTGCTTGCTTACTTGCTTGTGATCTTCAACAGCAAGTTGCTGCTGAAATGCAAGTCTACCTCTCTCAGTGACATTTTCACAAACACATAGTGTGCTAACTCCCCCTGCTTCTGATATTGAATCAGTTCACAAGGATCATCAACTCTGTCACGAATTAGGTCACGATTTGGAATCTCAGTAACCACACAACCATGTCCGTTCTCAAAATTCAACCGTTGCATGGAAAATCAATGTATAAATCGCAGCCCACGAGACCAGGATTTGCGTTCCGAATGTGCGAAGATTGATTCACGATTTGCTTCCGACAAGTTGCATGGCGGGTGCGGCGATAGTTTCAGATGAGAACGCTGCATAAAAAATGGACACTTTGGCACCGGTGGTTTCGTCGGAAGTGGTGGTTTTTCAGAAACCACCGGCGATAATTTGTTCACCAAAAGCGCGCGAAGATTCACGTGTACGTATACTTGTCGCTACTATAAAAGCACGCTTTTTAATTTACTTATTGACAGGATGAGTTATTTCTGTCAGTCAGTTTTTATTATTTCTTACAGTGTCTGTTGTCTCTTCATTGATACCGATGGTTTCGTGTAAGCAAGCAGCTTCTCATGTACACGTATATAAAACCTGAAATATAATATTCTTTATATAACCACTCAAAGTCAGCTCTTTAACATATTAATTTGTTATTTTCTAACATGTAAGTGTTTGTCTTGTTCACATTATAAAATGTAAAATGTAGTAGGTGTTGATCACAAATTGAGTTTTTATTTGCAATATTTTGTACAGATTGGAGATCAAGAAAAAGATAGACATGGATTCTACAGACAAGAAGCTACAGAAAAGCTACTTCGACGTATTGGGACTTTGTTGTTCGTCCGAAATTCAACTGATCGAAAACATCGTTAAATCGTTAGATGGTGTCAAAGATTTCACGGTGGTAGTTCCTACAAAGACATTGATTGTTGTTCACGACTCTCTCCTCGTTTCCCAGATTCAAATAGGTAAAAAATACTTATCAATCATTAATTATCATGCTCCTTTGTTTCGGTTATTTAAAAAAAAAATCGTCGTATTTGTATTGTGATTGTGGCAGTTAAGGCACTGAATCGAGCAAGATTAGAGGCGAATGTTCGAGTGTCTGGTGAGACAAACCATAAGCACAAATGGCCAAGCACATATACAATTGCTAGTGGTGTATTACTTTTGCTGTCGTTTTGTAAGTATTTCTACAGCCCTCTTCGATGGTTAGCTGTCGGAGCGATTGTTGTCGGGATCCCACAAATTATGCTCAAGGCGTTTGCAGCGATTCGTAATCTCACATTTGATATCAACATCCTTGTTCTTATTACAGGTGCTAAAATAAAAAGTATTTAAAACATCTGTCCATAACTACATTGGATTGTAGAATCTAACGCATTATGTAATAATGTCGTGCAGTTGCTGGATCAATTGCCCTGCAAGATTACTGGGAGGCTGGAACTGTCGTTTTTCTGTTTACAGTATCCCAATGGCTCGAATCGAGGGCTAGTTATAAGGTCAAACGATACTAATGAAAAATAAAAATACTTTCTTGATTCACTTAAAATCAAGAACCGATGTTTCTCTTACAAGCTGCTTATTGTTCATTTTTTTGTGTAGGCCACTGCTGTTATGTCGTCGTTAGTTAGTATGGTACCGCAAAGAGCTGTCTTAGCTGAGACCGGTCAAGAAGTCAACGCGGATGAAGTTCCTTTGAACACCGTTTTAGCTGTGAAGGCGGGCGAAACTATTCCAATTGACGGAGTTGTTGTGCAAGGCAACTGTGAAGTTGATGAGAAAACTCTGACCGGAGAATCCTTTCCCGTGTCCAAACAAAAGGACTCCCCTGTTTGGGCGGGAACGATAAATATCAACGGTAATAACACTTTGATCCTAGTTTGCTCTCTCTCTCTCTCTCTCTCTCTCTCTCTCTCTCTCTCTCTCTCTCTCTCTCTCTCTCTCTCTCTCTCTCTCTCTCTCTCTCTATATATATATATATATATATATATATATATATATATATATATATATATATATATATATATATATATATATATATATATATATATATATATATTATTGCCCAAGTTCAATGGTGATGTTTATTTTAAGGATACATAAGCGTTAAAACGACCGCTGTGGCGGAAGATTCAGTGGTGGCTAGAATTGCAAGGATTGTAGAAGATGCTCAAATCAAGAAATCGAAAACTCAGAGATTTATGGACAGGTGTGCCAAGTACTACACACCAGGTTAGGATTAGTACAAACTTCGGCTTTGGATCATTCGATAGTAATTATGTCCTAAATTAAATTATTTTTTTAAATTTCTTGCAGCAATAGTGGTGATATCGGCTTCGATAGCCGTAGTCCCTCTGGTATTCCAACTCGGAAACAAGAAAGAATGGTTCCACTTGGCTCTTGTTGTCTTAGTGACAGCATGTCCGTGCGCGCTTCTCCTTTCGACACCTGTCGCCATGTTCTGTGCGCTATCGAAAGCAGCAACTTTAGGTGTTCTGTTTAAAGGAGCAGAGCATCTCGAAACTCTTTCTGGGATAAAGATCATGGCCTTTGATAAAACTGGAACCATAACTAGGGGAGAATTTCTCGTCGTTGATTTCAAATCTCTCCACAACGATGTCAGCTTCAATACGCTCCTACATTGGTAAATAGTCAAGCGAAGCTTTTTCGATAGATCGAAAAGGATGAAAGTTGATTATCTGCTTTTTTTATTTTATCAGGATTTCGAGCATAGAGTGCAAATCAAGCCATCCAATGGCAGCTGCACTAGTGGACTTTGCGAGAGCACGTGGAATCGAGGCGAAACCCGACATAGTTGAGGAATTCGAGAATTTCCCAGGTGAAGGGATTTATGGCAAAATTGAAGATAACGAGATACACATCGGAAACAAGAAGATTGTTTCGAGAGCAGGGTGTAATGCAGGTGGGAAAACACAAGCCGCAATAGTACACTATTTCTTGAGCATTTATTATTTTTCCAACATCTCAATCATTTTTGTCCGCTTTTCTTACGATACAGTTCCGACATTAGAAGGTTACGAGACAGATCAAGGAGTGTCGGTCGGTTACGTCTTCTTAGGGTCATGTCCAGCTGGCATTTTCTCTCTCTCCGACACATGTCGAACCGGAGCAAAGGAAGCAATTCATGAACTGAACTCATTAGGCATCAAAACCGTCATGCTGACCGGAGATTCACACGGAGCCGCCATGCGTGCACAAGACCAGGTTTTTATTAAAAAAAACAAAATTAATGTTACAAATAACCTGCCATCAAAATTAATATATTTTTTTTAATAAATATAAATTGATGTGGATCAGTTAGGAGGAGGTTTAGAGGCAATTCACTCAGAGCTTCTACCGGAGGGAAAATCAAGAATCATCAAAGAGCTGCAGGCGGTGGGCCCCACAGCCATGATTGGAGACGGCATAAACGATGCTCCAGCACTAGCCACAGCGGAGATAGGAATCTCGATGGGGGTATCTGGATCGGCGCTTGCAATGGAATCAGGCGATGTTGTTCTATTCTCGAACGACATTCGGAAAATACCGAAAGCTTATCGTATTGCGAAGAAAGTGAAGCGTAAGATTATCGAGAATGTCGTAATATCGATGGTGACAAAAGTTGGGGTGTTGGGGTTAGCCGTGGCCGGTCATCCACTTGTTTGGGTTGCTGTGTTGACCGATGTCGGGACATGCTTGCTGGTCATCTTCAACAGCATGATGTTGCTTAAGGAGGAAGAAACGACTCCTGTACGAGAAAAAGTACGAGGAGGTAACAATAAGGACATCGTTAATAGTAAGCCTAGTACTGCAGTAACTACTACTGTTCCAACAAATGTGGAAAAGAAGAGCTGCGCTCGTAAGTGCTGTGGTGCTGAGTCGAAGCAGAAGCCTGAGATTGAAGAGCCTTTGCTAGTTACATGCGAATAATGCCGGTTTCTGGCGAAAACATTAATTAAATCGTTTTTCTTTGTTGTTGTTGTTGCTGCTGCTGCTGCTGCTGCTGTCGAATTTCACAACGTACGGGCTCTCTTATAATCGATCATTAATTCTCTATGTTGTATGTATCATATAATAAAATTGGTGGTTATAAAATTGATGTGTCTAAAGAAAGATCACTCAAAAATAACAATAAAGGGAAAATATTGTTACTTTAGACCAAAAATACGAGGGAAAAAATGAAAGTTACTTTAGAAGTAAAGTAAAAAAAAGTAAAAGGAAAAAGGTAAATACCCAATTAAAAAGATAAATATTTCTTTTTTAATTTTCTTATTGTGCAGACAGGATGAATACTTGAAGAGAGCAAAAAAAAAAAAAAAAAAAAAAAGACGGCTTATCGAGTCCGCAAGAGTCAACCTCCGTCCTCCCATCATTTTCTTGTTTTTGACCATTTTATCTCTCTCACAAATTTATTTATTCTATCCCAGAATTCAAGCATATTATATATAGCAAAAACAATAATTTTGGAATTATACCAAAAAAACCCATCCCCTGTTGTGATCCATAATTAGCAAGTAGGCCCAATGCTATCCATCTTCCAGCCAATAAAGTTGCTCACGAAATGATTATAGATCAACTGGGAATTTTTCAAAAAATTCCATATATATATATATATATATATATATACACTTATATAAGTGGATGTTGTTACAGAGGAAATGAATGTATAGGTAGCTATACTAAATTGCATGCATTCCCATCGGAGAGACTTACATGGGATAGTGTTAAGTGTATATTTATACACTTAATTGTACCTTTTAATTGGAGCTTTTGATGTGTTTTTACGATAATTGGTGCTTAATTTGGTTATTATTTGTATTTTAGGGACAAATTGAAGAATTGGAAAAGTATGGGGTCAAAACTGCAATTTTGGAGAAAATATGGGCCAAAAGTGAAAAAATCAAAATTCTGAAGATTTAAAGCTCGGACCCCCGTCCCAGTTTTAGTGCAAATCGTGGGACCCCCGTCCGAGACTCCGAAATTGCGCAGAAAAGGGATTTTAATTGCACAAGGAAACTGCCTTCTTCCCCAAGTTCTTCACCCTATATAAGACCAAGTCAGACACACAATTAGGCATCATCTTTTTATCATCTATCTTTTATCTTTCATCTTTCTACACGCGAGCAAGAGAACGAAGACGAAGACTTGACGAATCTTCATCCGAGTTTTCCTTTTACTTTTATTCTTCGATTTTTATGAACTTTCATATTTTTATTATGCTTGTCGTTACGAACATGAGTAGCTAAGTTTTTATTCTAGGATTTTATTGGAACCCTATGTGGTGATTCG